AAGTCAGCCAAGACAGTGGACCCCAATGACAAATATACACAAGTTATGGTAGAAAGCCATCAAGCAAACAGGGTGATACTGTAGGAGCAACTGACACTGTGCCCCTTTACAGTCTGAAGCAAAAAGATCATTGGAGGCAACTGGGTATAGGGTACTGCTGCTCCTATAAAGGGAGCACACAGCATTCTTTGTCAGAGGTAACAGCTCAAGACTACTGGTCTGCTGCCAAGTGCACAGACTTAAGCATTGTCACCTGTCTCATCATGTGTTTAACTTGTAGCTTCAATGCAAATTCAACATAATTTACTTGGGAGTAAATATTCTTGCTGATCTTTCCTGATAAATGTGCATCTCTGGCTATGTACAGCCATTTGAAAACAGGCAAGCAAACGCCTTAAACAGCGATAAACATTATGTACAACATTTTAAAAAGGTCTCTCTCAAGCTCAAGGTAAGTACAGTTGGGGGGGGGGGAGGGGACTTATTTGATTAGCATGATGCTATTTTGAGACAATCAGGTCTCCAAAAGGATATCCAGTTCATGACTAAAATTTATATCTTTGTGCAAGGGAATGAGGGACAGGTTATTGTGTATTTATGTAAGCAAATAAGCTACTCTATCTTCCTTTACTCATGTTTAAGATTGGGCTAGTGCCTACCTCCCTAAGATATTAGAATGTTTAACATTTATGAAAAATTTAGTCAACAGATGACACTTCTGTGAAGTGCTCAGAAGCATCTTATTTGATAGAGAAGCTGAAGTACAAGAATACTAAACAATTTTATTAATGATGAGCACCAATTTAGTGACAGGAATAGAAAAACGTTTAGCTCCTGATCTGCACACCTTTGCTGAAGCACAGACTCGCATTTCCCATTCAACTACTTAATATTTTACTTGTAACTTACTAATTTAAAAGTATACTAGTTAGTTTAGTTTCGGTGTTTAAAAAAATGGGAATACATTGTACTTCTGCTCCTTTTCGGTAGCAGCTTACATCAGATGGATAAATGATTTTACCTATAGCTGATAACTGTTAATGCAGAGAATGAGCTAAACCTAACAGTCATGTCAAAACTGGACTAAAAATGGTAAATCAGCTAGAACTTGAGAGGTAATATTGGCACACTGAAACTGCTTAAGCCTCAAAGCAAGGATTTTTTGCCTGTCTGCAGAAGCCCAGGAAAATCAAGAGGCAGTTGTCATGTTGTAAAACCAAGAACCCTGACGCCAACTTTTTCACAGCACTGTTTAGTACAGGGGTGGGAAATAATTTTCACAACCATTTAAATAGGATCCTGCTGTCTGAGCCACCACCACTTGGAAATTCAGCGGCACGGGAAGCAGGATATAAATAGAAAGTAGCGAGATGTAGTCCATAGGCGGGATTCAAGTGTTAGGCAGGTTGCATCTGACCTCCAGGCCATATCTTGCCAAGCCCTGATTTAGTAGCATTAGGTTTTAGCCTAAGTAGTAAATTGCTTCCAATGATCATAAAATGTTACCATTCTACAGGCTTATCAAGAATACATCTTTCCCACAATCTGATGTTTACAAAAATCTTGTAATTAGAATTTGAATGGTTAACAAGTTAATATATTAACATGGAATATAGTCTAATATTTACCTTCTTGTTTCTTTCCTTTTCTTTTCCCTTTATTAACGATCACGATTTTCTCTTCTGGAGGCATTTGTGCCACTTTCTGCATAAATACTTTTTCTAATTCTTCTGCCATAAAAACAATGTCATCACCTGGCTACACGATATAATAATTTTTGTAAGCCACAAAATATAGGCAATATAGATCAGTAATTCAAGAATATTAAGTTCATGTAGCATTATGCCACAGAACGTGGGTGTGTTATCAGGCATTACAAGCTTACTACCAATCTGATGTCAGACCAGAGTTTCTAAACAATCTTATTACAGTTCAACCTTAAAAAGGGTTACATAACCCACCCCACCTGTTCCACAACAAGGTTAAATGTCCCATTCTCTTTATTTCTTCTTCCCACAAACATCCCAATGTTCCACAACAAGGTTAAATGTCCCATTCTCTATTTCTTCTTTCCACAAACATCTCACCCGTACACTGAGACAAATTTTAAGCCATTCACTCTAGCAACCTTCAACTCCAAAGGGAACGACATTCAAGAATTAGAACAAAACCCACTTGAGTCTGCCACATAAAAGAAACATTTTAAAAGTTGCTTCTTCCCTTCATCTGTCACACATTTTGTCCGTCATTATACATTGCAAAGCTCATCTATTCATCCATTTTCCTGGAGGAGTGGAGTGTAGGATTCAGGATAATCAGGAGTAGGGGGTGTGTGTCTTAGGCTGTGTAGACACAGCCGGGCTTACCTCGAAATAAGCTATGCAAATTGAGCTACATCAATTGCGTAACTTATTTTAAAATAGCTTATTTTGAAATTGGGAGCAGCTACACAGCACTTATTTCAAAATGGAGCTCTCTTCATCAACTTCCCCTTACTCATCGTACAATGAGAGTTACTCCAGTTTAACAATATTTTGATGCAGACTAAATTTTGAAATAACTAGTGATTTTGAAATAGTGTTGCTATGTAGATGCCCACTTACTTACAATTTTTATTTTTACCTTTTAATTGTTATATGAGTGTGCTGTATCACTACAGAGGCTCTTTTGTAGTGTTTTAATGACTTTGTTGTTAGAATCCTTGTGTGGGGACATTTACTCTTTCAATGAATTGTACAGATGGCTAGAGGTTGGCTAGATGATTTTTTGTAAATTTGAGCAAATATTAGTAGCCTATTTAATTGCATGTTTTCAACTAATATTCAGAGACACTTTCGGTTACTTGTTTTCTGTTGATGCATTTTGTTGCTTGTAACAGGTACTTTCAGAATTGGGTATATGGCCTACTGAACAGACACATCCTCTCTTTTAGATTGCAATACTCTCTTTTTAGATTCTACATACCTTGTTATATACATAGCAGTTTGTGAACATAGTTTTGAAGTCTTCAATGCAGTCTGTAGCTTTTGTGTAATAATTATGTTCCAAACGCTTTTTAATCGTGCTCAAGTCCATGGGTTTCTTAATGATACTATAATAATCCTGCAATTTTGAAAAGAGATGGTTAAAAGCCATATAATTTGTTAATTTAATGAAAGATAAATAAGTGTTACTAGCACCTGAGTACTCTTGTACATTTGAGAACAACTTGTTAAATTTTACAGGAGAATAGAATTACTGTGTTGCTGAATTTGGAATAGGAATATTCCATGAAAAGAAAGCTTACCTTCAGGTTTAAAGTTACCAGTAAAAGCATCTTAAGTGCAACATCAGAGGTATTATGGAAATTACTTTCTTTGTATTCCTCCCCTTGCATGAACAGATTTTTTTTTTTTTTAAGATATTCATTTCAGTAGTATTAGTACCATGTGGCTAAGTGGCACTTGTACTAGGAATAATAGTTCTCTTGTATAGCAGTTTTCATCTGTTAATCTTAAAGCAATTTACAAGTGAAAATAAGCATTCCCATTTCCCAGATGGAGAAATGGAAGCAGAGAGACTCATAAAATTGCAGGCAGAGCTGGGAAGAGAGTCTAGTCCTCTTGATATCTGTCCAGGACACTATTCATTAGATCATATATTAGAGAGGGAGCTGTGTTAATCTGTATCCACAAAAACAAATAAGGAGTCCTGTGGCACCTTAAAGGCTAAAATTAGCCTTTTAGGTGAAACAGGACTCCTTGTTTTTTCCATTAGGCCAAGGTGCTTCCCTAAAGACTAGCTAATTGACCAATTAAAAGAATCCTAGTAGAATTGCTTACTTCCACCACTAGGAATTAGCAGACAATCTCTAGGTAAGAAGAAATCAGAAGCATTCGGTAGTTTTTACACCCCAATAACTAGGTTACATATCTGAAGAATATGTAAGGGCACATCTACAGAGCAGGGCTTAACTAAAAAAGCTATGCAAATTGAGCTACATCAATTGCGTAGCTTATTTCAAAATTCAGAGTGTCTACACAGCACTTATTTCCAAAAAGAGCACTTTTCCTCTGACTCCAGGAGCCCTCATTGGGTGAGGAGTAACAAGTCCTCCAGCTTGTCAGTATTTCAACATTATTTTGAAATAACTGCCTGCTATGTAGATGCAGACTAAGTTATTTTGAAAGAACACTAATTATTCCAAAATAATGTTGCTGTGTAGACATACCCTAAATTAGTAATTACTACCTCTGAAGCGCCCCTAATTAGAGCAACTTATCCACTTTAGTTAGAACAAAAAGCTACAACACAACAATTAGAGCAACTTATCCACTTTAGTTAGAACAGAAAGCTACAACACAACAATGTTTTTAAGTGTCTGTTCAACAGTATGACTAGAAGAACATTTGAACTGCATAGCTAAAAATAAAAGCTATTGTCAAAATACTGATCTCTTCCGCCACCTCCTGTCCCCTTTCGGTGTCAGAAGAGGGAAGTTAGATACTCACTGTCCTTGTAATGAAGACAGACAGAATTTGCCGTTGATTATGCAAAGGTTGAAGCTGCACTATTTGAGAGTATGTGTTAAATTCTAAGTGGCTGCCTTAGAAATATGAAGAGGCAGAACTGTCCTAAGGCTAACTACAATTGTTGTCACAACTCTGAATGAACAACCTACAATATTAACCTTAAGTGACAGTTTCTCCAAAGAACAAAAACAAAACACAGACGACAGTCACTTTGACAGTGCTTTTGGATATGCTGACCAAATGAGTTTGTCAAGAGAAACAGATATGGATAAAGGATTTTGTCTGCTGCTCCAAATAAAACCAATTGTCTGGAGGGACTGATTTATGAGAAAAATGTTAGAAGAGCCAAGCATTTATAACAGAGGTTGGTTAAGTAACAGAGAGGAAACAATTTCTAAATTGAGGACTAATGAATGGCAAGTTTAAGAGTAATCCAATCATATGACCAGAAGAAACTTGACAGAATTAAGACATTATAAACTTGAGAGCAACATCTTTCAGCATACTGAAAGTCTTAAGGCAGTTGTGGTGGAAGCCCCATTCCTTGACAAGACTAGATTAATACATACTCCACTCCTCTCACCCCCTTAAAGAGATACAGCAGCATTCATACAGACCCTACTGCAGTGGTCTCCAACCTTTTTAAGCATGAGATAACTTTTTGAATTTAAGTAAGATCCAGGATCTACCTCAAACCCAAACACACTTGCCCCACCTCCTTCCTGCCCCTTTTTGGGGGCCACTTCAGTGCATAAGCCAAAACCTATTTAGAGTTAGGAGAAAGCTTTCTTTGGGGACAATGATCCCATAATCACGTCAGGGTTTGTTACACCTATATGATTCTATGCATGTCACACTGGTAATGTTAAATAGATTCTTAGAGTCCTTGCTGGAAGAGGCCTCAGGAGGTCATCAAGTTCAGCTCCCTGCCCCAAAGCAGGACCAATCCCAACTAAATCAGCTCAGCCAGGGCTTTGTCAAGCAGAGACTTAAAACCTCTAGGGATGGAGATTCCACCACCTCCCTACGTAACCCATCCAAGCGCTTCACCACCCTCCTAATGAAATAGTTTTTCCTAATATCCAACCTAGACCTTCCCCACTGTAACTTGAGGCCGTTGCTCCTTGTTCTGCCATCCATCACTACTGAGAACTGCCTCTCTCCATCCTCTTTGGAACCTCCCTTCAGGAAGTTGAAGGCTTCTATCAAATCCCCCCCTCACTCTTCTCTTCTGCAGACTAAACAAACCCAAATCCCTCAGCCTCTCCTCACAGGACATGTGCTCCAGCCCCCTAATCATTTGGGGGGTCCTCTGCTGGACCCTCTCCAATGCATCCACATCCTTTCTATAATGGGGTCCCCAGAACTGGACACAATACTCCATTTGTGGCCTCAGAGCCACAGTGAGGCTAAGGCAGGGGGCTATGTTTCTGAATCTTCTTTGGCAAGATATTAGAAAGGGGTTAGGCCTAGTTAGTTTCCAATTTAATTTTTTTTTCCTGCAAGTATTCAGTTGGTCTAGAGAGAGATTGACACTATAACCCAGCATTTAGGGCACTTTCCTGAGACACTTGGTTCAAATCCCTGCTGCAAATCAAGTAGAGTGGGCATTCAAATCTAGGTCTCCCACATTCCAACTGAGCAACCTTAGCCCTGGGCTACTGGGTATTCTGTGACTGGACATGAATGTACTCGAGATGGAGTTTATAATATAAGCATGAACCACATCTTTAGAAATAACCCTTCATATCTCCAGGACTTCCAGGCTGAGAATTGTGGTTAGCCTTCTTTTATGGAGAATGCATATGTTTATAGATGGTGTGTGTTAGATCCTGCACAGATTTCACCTAGAAAAGGAATAGTCGGTTTCGAGTAGGTGACCTGTTGTTACCATCACACCCCCCCTTTTAATAATAATAAAACTTATTTTAAACTTCACAGAACTGGAAGGGACATTGAGAAGTCATCAAATCCCTAAATTGGCCCCCCTCAAGGATTGAACTCACAACCCTGGGTTTAAGCAGGCCAATGCTCAAACCACTGAGCGACCCCTCCCCTTTTACCTCATGAAGGCCCGTATCTGGCAGGTCATGTCTTTGACATCTTTCACCAGGAGGCCGACAATACAGGTAACTCTAGCTACGTGGCGCGTGGACTTGGCACAGGTACATACCATCGTTCAACGTACTAGGGATGTCAGAGTGCAGTCGATGAACTGCGTAACCGCTAAGCAAAAGCGTATCGGTTAATGCTATCCGCGACACGCATTCCTCCCTCCCTCCTTTGCCACTACATTTTTTTAGCAGGCTGGCCAGCAGCCTAGCTCATTCCTGGGTCACACCAGGTCCAGGACCTATCCCCGCTGCAGCTCTGCATTTAAATTGTATTAGGAGCCAGGTGGGCAGGCAGCCCGGCTCAGTTCCAGCTTACGCCGGGTCCAGGAGCTCAGATCCCCCATTAGACAGGGGCTGCTGCCACCCCATGCTGCTGCATCTTTATCACAGGCAGCAGCACTAGGAGACAGACAGCTAGTCCAGAAGGGGAACTGGTTTTTAAACGGGCTCTCCTCTTGGACCAGCTCCTGTCTGGCACCCTGCACTGCTGAAACTGACCAGTGGCTGACTACAGGAAGCCCCTGCCCTGGGCTTCCTGGAATCAGCCGCTGATGAGTTTCAGCAGCAGCTGAATCTGGACGCCAGTTCCAACTTACATACAGATTCAACTTAAGAACAAACCTACAGTCCCTATCTTGTACGTAACCCGGGGACTGCCTGTATTGCCTTTTTAAGTTTCTTAAAGATTATTTAAAGGGGCCTGCTATTAAATTGTAGCACTTTATAGGAAAAAAAGACAATATTAAGAGTTCAGTCACTTAAAAATCAAGACAATTTTAGAATTATTATAATGAGTTATTCTGGTCAACTAATAATGTTTAGTGTTTGAACAGGAGTTTCTCACATAATGTTTAGTGTTTGAACAGGAGTTTTTCCCATGGGACAGATAGGCAGAAACCAAACTATACTATCCTAGTGTGGACTATGGTATGTCTACAAAAGGAAATTATTTCAACCTAAGTTTTTTTGAAATAACTCCCAAAATAAACTTTTTCCCCAAGGAAAGCAGGAGTTTTCAGAATAAACAGTTCCTTATTTTGAAATAATGGGCTTGGTTGTTCTGCTTGTTATTTTGAATTAAGGGGAGTTATTTTCAAATAATTACCTTGTATATGCCAGAGCTTAGTGAGAAAGTGACCACACATTCTTTATTCTTTCTCCACTTGTTAACAATTGTCAGCTTACTCCTACATCAGAAGAGTGAGGGACAGTCCTACAGGAGGCATCTGGTGTTGAGGAAGTCTCATGAGGTTTTTTTTTTTTTTTATAAACCAAACCTTAGTATTTGTATTCATCTTCTCTGCAGTGTAGGAAAAAAAATTGGTGTCTTCAGTGTAGCGGATTGTGGATCACTTCAGTTATTAGAGAAAGAAGTTTATGATTAGTTGGTTTACTCCTCCCCCCCCCACTAATCACCACATCTCTCAAACAGGAAGGTGATGAAACTATTTAGTGATATAAAGGGTTAATTGCTTTGATATTTCACAAACAAGAGCAATTGTCAAAAAGTAGTCTCTGAAATATATCTTCAATAAAGTCTACATTTTCTAAATCTCAATGCCTGCATTCCATGCAGGAAAAATCAACATAGCAGATTTAAATTAGAGATACGAGCTGAATGTTCCAAAAGGCGGACTTTCAGATTATGAAGCATCAACTTCTTGGGGATGCATTAGTTGTGTTGACACTATTCTTTGAAGCATGAACTAAAGTTTGAATGGCCACATAATGCTCTATAAACAGTTTGAGAGGGGTCAGGAAACTACTATTTTAAGAGCAGATGTCTTTAGAAGGGTACCCTACTTGCATGCCCCAAAAGAAAGCTTATTCTAATGGGATTTCTGTGGAAATCTGTGGGTTCCCCCCCCCCCAACATTCCTCTTGGGCACATCAGGTCACTGAAGCATTCCCACAAGAAACTCAAACAAGTCCTTACATATCAAGATACCATCCTGATTTAATGTTAAACTGCATCGGATTTCAAGTGGTAGAAACTATTTTCTCTACTCTGGAGAAAGTAACTGCAAGATCTCAGACCTGATAATTACTTATTGGGAACAGGACGCCACCACGGCTCATCTTAAGGTAAGATTACTCCAAGTATGCATTTTGCGTAGCTGCAGTTGTGTACCTTAAGCCTTCCTTCCAGGTTCAGTGTAGATCTGCCCTCAGTCCACTAACAGCTTAGCCCTGCCATATTATCTGTGGGCAGAAGAACCCACATTTCACTTTAGCTGGGTTGTGAGCAGCTGTAAGGATCCACCCATGTGGATCTCTAAGGTGCTACAGGACCATTGTTGTTTTTAAAATTTTGTTAGTTACAGATTAACATGGCTACCTCTCTGAGACTTTCAAAATGGTTATAGTATTACATTCACAACACAACTTTCAATGGCTTTTTAGTCTCAGATATAACTAGAACTAGTACCTATATACATTTTTATATTACCAGATTATTTAATTTACAAAGTACAGCAATGAAGGGAGAACATTAAATCCTTTCTTTTACGAAATTGCAAATATTCCATGGAGTTGCTTCATAGTATCCTACTACAGTTTTCACTTTGTCTATACAGGGCTTTATAGTGTGGCTACTTTACAAAGATACAAGGAATTTAGCGTCTACACTATAGATACAGGCACACATACATTGTCTCATAGATACCGCAAGAGGAAAGTCCAAATCCTGCTTTCACATTAACAAGTACAACTCTCACTGAATTCAGTGTGCTGTGTGCAAGTATCTAAAGTCAATTTGGCTCAATGACTTTAAAGACTTACCAGAAATTATTTCTGATGCAGTAATATTTATAGTATAGATTCTTTAACTATGTAAAGAAATTTCAATGAGGTTCAAGAATAAGGCTCCCTTGGGTCATTAATGGTGCAGGCCAGTGTTTTTCAATTTCAGGCCTGTGGACCCATGTCGTCCACAGACTATGTCCATGAGGGTCTGTAAAAGGTCATTGTTGCCATAGAACAGTGATTTTTCAACTGTGATCTGTGGACAACATGGGGGTCCACAGAGTACATCTAAGATTTCCAAAGGGGTCTGACCTACATTTCAAATTTTTAGAGGTTAACAACAACTCTCTGACTATGGTTATCCAGCCAATTATGCACCCATCTTATTGTGGCCCTATCTAAGTTATATTTGCCTAGTTTATCAATAAGAATATCATGCGAGACCGTATCAAATGCCTTACTAAAGTCTAGGTATATGACATCCACCGCTTCTCCCTTATCCACAAGGCTCGTTATCTTATCAAAGAAAGCTATCAGATTAGTTTGGCATGACTTGGTGATGGTACTGCCTGGTACACAGTACCGGCACCTCCAGATGCAGTACCAGCACCTCCAGTCAGAGCTCAACAACTTTTTCCCCCCGGAGTACTAGCACTTTTTTTTTTAAGAAAAAAAAAAAAAAAAAAAGCACATTTACAAACATTTCCTGACAAATCGTATCATACTACAGTGTTGAAGGAGTAAAGGCTTGGGCTATGACTCTTTGCTACCCCTCTAAAAATTCAGTCCAAAACTTGTAGCTCATGGGTAGATGAAGGGATTTAAGACCCCTTTAAACTCTCCCACTCCTGAGCTGCTTTGGGGGCGGAGATATTTCTGGCATAACTTAGACAGTGCTGGAGGCCTAAAGTGCAGTACTGCCCATAACCGCTGCAGATTAAGTTTTTTAAAACCAGAATTTCAGTTCACCTTTAAGATCTCACTTGCTTCTTCAACATATTATAAGGTTTTCATACAATACCCAATTGGAGTCTTACAGGAAGGTTTAGTGCTGCAGCATCTACAGGCTGGTGAAATGGCCAGGAAAAGTTGTGCCTCCACATAGCTTTCATGACCACCCTCAGTAAATATTGAAGCTGATTTGTTAAACAGCCAGTTTTTTTAAGATTGATATATTCTGGTGGAGGAGGATTAACAATAGTTTGACGCTGTTTGTTTGGAAGAGACATCTTCAGTAAGTTTCTATAGCTACATGTTCCAACGTCTGTTCTAGCATCAACCTGTGAAGAAAAAAAATATAAACAAATTTTAATATATATTATATTGTAAATATTGTGGGACAAACCAGGTCAGGAAAAGTATAAGCTTTCAATATAGAAGATGAAAGACTGCTACATGAAATACTAAACACATTGGCTGCGTCTAGACTGGCATGATTTTGCCGAAATCCTATTAATGGAAAAGTTTTTCCTGTTAAAAGTATTTCTGCAAAAGAGCGTCTATATTGGCAAGTGCCTTTGTGCAAAAGATTTGCTTTTGCGCAAAAGCATCTGTGCCCAGTATAGACACGGTTTTGCGCAAGAAAGCTCCAGCGGCCATTTTCACCATCAGAGCTTTCTTACACAAAAAATTCCTGTCCGTGTCTACACTGGCCCTCTTGCGCAAGAACACTTGTGCAAGAGGGCTTTTTCCCCCCCCCGAGCTGGAGCATCAGAGTTCTTGCGCAAGAACACTGGCAATCTTACATTAGATAGTCAGTGTTCCTTGCGCAAATTCTCGTGGCCAGTTTAGACAGCTCGCAAGATTTTGCGCAAAAGTAGCCACTTGCCAGTCTAGACGCACCCATTGGGTTTTAGTGCCTTTAATGAATCAGTTCACTGGTTGCATTTCTAATGGGGATATAAGGCATACTTGAGATCAGAGAAGTGACATTTTATAACATTAATGTCTCAGGCAAAAAGCCATTAAAAGTCACTGGCATTTTTCTTTAGTCTACAAGTGCTGTTATGTTCTTGCGCAAAAGTTGCAGAGTGTCTACACTGCACGTGTGTTCTTGCGCAAGTAGATTTACAGTAAAGCATTGAAAAACAGGAGGAATAAGCCCTCTTGCACAAGAGCTCTTCCACAAGAAGGCAGTGTAGACAGGCAACAGGGGTTTCTTGTGCAAGAAAGCCCTATGGCTAAAATGGCCATCAATGCTTTCTCGCACAAGAGTGCGTCCACGCTGCCATGTGCTTTTGTGGAAGAGATGTAATTTTGTGCCATGGACGATCTTGCACAAAATTACATCTCTTCCACAAAAGCACATGGCAGCGTGGACGCACTCTTGTGCGAGAAAGCATTGATGGCCATTTTAGCCATAGGGCTTTCTTGCACAAGAAACCCCTGTTGCCTGTCTACACTGCCTTCTTGTGGAAGAGCTCTTGTGCAAGAGGGCTTATTCCTCCTGTTTTTCAATGCTTTACTGTAAATCTACTTGCGCAAGAACACACGTGCAGTGTAGACACTCTGCAACTTTTGCGCAAGAACAGTTGTTCTTGCACAAAAGAGTATTTACAAAGCCATGGACAGACAGAATACTGGAAAAACCTTCAGTTAATGGTCTGGATAACTCAGACATCTAGTTTTCTACTCATTCATTGGCCCAATTTCTATTGGTGCAAAAGACAAGCTTTCACACTTACACAGAGCTTTTCTCCAGGTCTGTATAACCTCAACAGCTTGTGTCTCAAAAACAGAATTTGGGCCAATAAGATAGATATTACCTCACATACCTTGTCTCTAATATCATGGGACCAACATGGCTACAGCACTGCATACCTCCATTCAAAGGGAGTTGGAGATGTTCTCCTAGATTGGAAGCTCAGGTTAGAAATCTCAGCTGATATGCAACACAGGCAGTCCCCGGGTTACGTACAAGATAGGGACTGTAGGTTTGTACTTAAGTCGAATTTGTATTTAAGTTGGAACTGGCATCCAGATTCAGCCGCTGCTGAAACTGACCAGCGGCTGACCACAGGAAGCCCGAGGCAGAGGTTTTCTTGCCCC